TTTGTAACGGCTGCCGTGTGTCAACGATTTTCATCAGTGACCCGTGAAATTATATTAATAGATGGAGCGAATTATTTTGGTTCGTGTACATGTACATGATCTCAAAATCGTAAAATACCATTACCAAATGTCTACCTTTCTGACCCTATTTTACTGTCTTTTATTTTCATTAAACAAAAATGCTGTAACAGTGACCATTTAGAATTACAAATATGAAATATCCAACAGTAATGGTACAAAAAAAAATTGTATAATCATTATAGATTAACTAATCATAGATTAAGATTTTCAGTGAGTGCCGCTGGTGAAATCTGGAAATGTAAATGTGCTTTCTGTTTTTCTATGAAAAACACACGTATACTTGCACGTAACCAATCGTTTTCGCTCACACGCACGTTTACAAATACACGCTCAGGGACATACATACAAACGTATACGCGCACATAAGCAACCAAACATAAGGATAAGGATAAATCCGATATGCGAAGCTGAGCCATGCCCGGGTTATGAGGGAGCCTGGACTGTGCCTACTACTGTCGACTCGATCAACGAGTGTCAGCAAGTGCAGACGGGACAGAGCTTAGTCCTTACCCACCGCGGTGCCCAGCCACAGCAGTAACCTCCGGGCGACAATTGCAACTTCTCTCGCCTGGGCGGGGCGCGAACCGCCGACCCCTCGGATGAGAGGCCGATACATTACCAGTGTATTATCCTGGAGGCTCAACCAGTCACATACACACTCATACGTATATCATGCGCGTACATATGCATGCCCATGAATTCTTACCAATATTCAGAGATTTACGCAAATGTGATCTCGACCTATAAAAGAACAGATCAAGAAATTTGAATAGCTGGTACAAAAAAAGATCATATTGTTTTATAGTTATAGTGAAATCCAGTAGCACCAGCAAAGACTTCCGAAGCTCATCTCGCATGGTACTCCTTGTTATCTTGTCCGATATTTTACTTAATTTCCTGTTTGATCAATTGTCTTGACTGTAATATGACAGCAATTCTACCAAAAACAAATATTAAATGTTAAGACAAATAAATCTTGGTGAAACTTTCCGCGGAGTTCAAGGGACTATTCTCCTGTTGGTTAATATTACCGAGTGGAATGAGTGGATGAATGGACCTATGCAAGTGCGTGCGCAAGTGCGTGTTCCTTCACTGCCCTGAACAACGCAGCTCCTACCTGTGTATTCGCAACCACTAACACTCATATACTGTGGAAAAAAGTCAGTGTAAACTAATGAATACATGGTTATTATATTGCTTGTTGTCTTTGTTCTAAACGTTTTCACAATCTTTACAATTTTTGTTACCATTATAAATGGGAAAAAAACAATTTTTGAAATGACCCAAGATAAAACAGAACAACGAAATAACGTGAGAAATTTGTCTTGTCAAACAAATGTTGAAGCATAAGTTACAGCTTTAATAATGCGACAAAATAACTTTTCTTTTTGTCTTAATTTGCTTTCATTGTTTTTTAAGTGATTTGGTTGTGCATTTAATCTCATCAATAATATTCCAAATAACATACAACTCTCTAAAGACATTCCATGCGGTTATTGCATGATAAGTGGGATTCGACTGCAATTCTGATTTTTATCTACTGAAAATTAACTGTCGCGTCAACATCTTATTTTATTTATTACCAGCGTATTCAAAATACAATGGATAAAAGCATAATAAATGTATTAGACATCAAAGGTCATACAGCACTAGTATTTTTAAGGAGGGGTGAAGGGTGATAGTTGCTATGCGGAGGATGGGTGTCAGGAGGATGGATATCGGCAGTAGTTGAGGGGGATGGGTTATGTTGGGAGGGAGCAAGAGGGAGGTATGTAGGGGAAATATGAGTAGGAGGGGGATGGATGTCGGCAGTCATTTCAAGTGTGGAGGGGTATGAGTTAAGGAATTTTGGGTCTCAAGCATATAGCTTTGAACATCTTCCATAGTTTCTGCAGTGGAGTTGGTTGGTGAGTTTTGTGAGAAAGGTTTTCTGGTGTCTGAGTAAGTAGGTGTAGGGGAGGATATAGTAACATCTTGAGGTGGAGGGGGAGGGCAGAGCCAGCGTCATTGCTGGAGTAGGGAGTTTAAGAGAAACGTTGATGGCGTGCTTCCTGTCTGGCTTCACGTGGTATGAGACCATTTTTGTATCTGAGAGTTGCTACCTCAGACTCGAACTTGTAATAGGGACAGCCTCTAAAATATATTATGGGGACAGTTAGCACATGTGCGTGTTTGTGCAGGGCAGTTTGATCTGTTATGACCGGGTTGGGCACAGCGGGGGCATCGGTCTGTGGATCGGCAGTGTTTGGCAGGGTCCAAATCGCCAATAGTTTTGACATTGACGGGAGGAGGGTATGGTCGAACAGGGAGGGATTGTCCACCAATGTAGATACGAACGGGAAGGTCATGTGTACTGAAAGTAATTTTGGAAATGATGGGTTCCTTTCGATGACCTTTCGATGAAGTAGCAATGTACTGAATTCACGTCTTGGTCTTTGAGGTAGCCGAGCAAGTCTTCTCCACAATCTGATCAATCTTTGGAATCGACTGGGCAGTTTGCTGGGGAGATAGACAGTTCCAGTATAAGTATTAAGAGTTGAATGAGATTCGGCAGGAAGGAGGTTGCCAGCGATCATTTATATATGATAATGCTATAGCTTCAGTTTCAGATGTGACACGAGACGAGAGGGCTCGCGTCGGGTATGGAAAGGGACTCTGTCCACATGTTTTTGGAGGCATTGCTGAAAGAGGAGTGTTGCCTAAGGAGCTGTAGGGGGATCACAAAAATCGGCCACATTTAGCCGGGCTAGATAGAGTATTTAAGATGTTTGTAGGGTTTATGGTGTAGGACGGGACGTGTGGGAGAGGGTGTTGTTGAGGGGGCTAGTATTACGGAGAGATGGAGAATAATGCGATAAGGTAGTGTAAGGTGGTCTTGGATACTGCATCTCATCCTCTCTGCTCTCCCGCTCTGACTGCCGTGTTGGAGGATTGTCTGCCACGTGTCTCGCTTCGTTTTTTTTTTTTTTTTTTTTTATCTCGCTTTTATTTATTTAGTTTTATTTTAGTTTCCCCTTTCATATTTTGGTTTTCTCTTAACATTTTATGATTTAACGAGACATTTTAATGGCCCTTTTAGTTTTTTTTTAACATTCAGTAAAGTTTTAAGGCTTCATTTTCATGTTAAGTTGTAGGGGGAGCATTTTTACGTACAGTGTTTATTCTTTCTTTTTAGTTATTGCATTTCTTTTTCTTATGGTTTCATTTTATACTTTTATTTTTGTTCACTTTTATGCACATTCTTAGCTTATTATTGCAAGAATATATTTTGTACAAATGTTTGGCCTCTGACGTCACGGGCATTGGACAATATAAACAAACAGTAATGGTCGAGACGTCAATGAGTTTCGCTATCCTGCGAAGCTTTAAACCACCGATAGTGTCGCCATATTTATTGAACCGAACAAAGTTTACCGATACTGATATTCTTTGCATAGAGCGGGACGTGATCCTAAGGACATTTTTATTGAATAATTGAACACTTTTATTTATTTTTAAATGAACTTGGCTGGTTTGTTCTCTCTTTATTTGTAACTTTTAACATTTCAAAGTAGGAAGTCTGAGTGATCTTTTAATTTGTTTTCCTGTTTCGGTGTCACCAGACTTAAGTTTTAGACTGTCGTATTTTTTTTCTTTTTAGGTTTAAGGTGTTTTAAGCCTTCAGCTCTGACGCCAGACTTGCTGGTTTTGTCTTGTTTTATGGTAAGGCCTTCAGCCAGGCTCTCCACTCTGAAGTCTCTTTTTTAGTTTTTGCATACAGTCAGTAATTTTAGGTGCCTTAGCACATATTCTTTTACTTTTGTATTTTTCTTAGATTAATTTGTAGTAGTATTTTACCATATGGTTAGGCTGAACGTCAGAAAGGTATTCACACAAACTCCCCTATTAATGATTTAGTTTCCCCCCATGCTACCCCGCCAGCATCAAGGGAGGGCAGAATTCTAAAAAGAGTGACTTGATGAACTGGGACGGGACCCATGGGTTAGACAGATCACACTACAGTAGTAATAAGGGAGGTTTGGGGTGTTTGATGAAGGTTGTAGGGGTAGAGGTGATGAAGTTGGGGAAGTTGGGAGAGTAGGAATATCTTCTGGAGTCTCGCCTTGGGTGGTTAATGCATTAGTAGGCATTGAGGAGTGGATAGTAGTTTGTGTTCAGAGGCATGGTCAAAGGAGAGCCTGGGGTCGGGGAGCCGGTAGTCTGAATTAGTAGGGCTATTTGAAGGGGCAAGCCTCATTGCCTATAACATGGGTATTGCTTCATTACTGGCCATGGGAAGCCTTGACTATGTTGGGTAAGTAAACAGTCCACTCCTCATGTCATTGACAACTTAACAGGGTAATACTGTGCCTATGGTTCCCTCAGGCCGTACACAGGACTGGCACAAAGTCGGCCTTCATCCTTTCAGCACGGCTTTACACCTTCGAAAATAGGTAGTAGAAGGGGTTGGAGAAGGGACGGAAACAGTAGCTGGAGGGAGAAAAGGGCATGCAAAAAATTAGTCAAGGGCTGAGGTCCAAGGCAGGGGAGATCCCTGTATTGGGTCTCGTCTCCGCCTCCTAAGCCCCCCCCCCCCACGACAAATTAGTTGAGGCGAGGGATGGGATCCATTGTTGGGGTGCTCGCAGCATTGGGTCTCGGGCCTCATCTCTAGTATACCATGAATATAAATTTCACACAAATTCAGAAGCAACTCAGAAATTCAAAGGTTATGGATCCCTACACCCTTATCTCCTTACGGACTTAGTATTTGGTGCCACCCTCTATGCACACACGTGGTATATATAACTAGATCTGGTGAACAATCTGGGGTTAATCATTTTGGACAACTAAGGTCTTTGCAAATGTACCCACTTTTGAATTACACTTTTCTCATAGTTCCTCACTTCTCCATTCTTTAGGGGAATAAAGAAATCAAATCTTTTTGTATCTATTCGTTTATTTCAAGTTCCACATTACAAATTATTATTTAAGTACCTGTGATTAATTTTACACCATTTTTTTAAACAGCTTTACCACAAATCACCAAATATTAACTCTTCTAGCTGTTACAGTAAATGTGTTAATACAATTTTGGAGGAGCTTCATTATTCTGAACAAGAGTAAGAATACACTAATATTCTTGGGAGTCGAGAATATCACCTGAAAATAAAAGATAATGGTTGCTTATGTTATAATACAAGTTCAACAATGTATGCTACATATACCAAAAATCAGATATTCATTTCCTCAATTTATCTCAGTTGACGAAAAATAAGGTCATCATTTTACTATGCACTCTTAGCATAGATCCTAAACTTGCGATGACAAAGTGTCTATCCCTCATTTATCTACCTCCTATAGCCCCTCTCAGACTAACAGAGGCCGTTTCTCTGTTGAAATTTCCCATGGTCACTTCCCTTCCTCTAATCAATGCAAGCTTTCCTAAAAATAACAAAAAAGGGACATTAGCTTTTGCTAGATGGGGACGGTTCACCAGAATAAGATGCTATTTTTTCACTGAACAATCTAAACCTAGAGATTTATCATTCATATTCATGATACTCATTCACAATATGGGACATTCTTTTCATTACAGATGGATACATACATATCCAAATACTACATACTTCAAACATACCTTCTATCCACAGTGCAATGCAGCAGGCATCACATCAAGAGAATTATCTGAAATCCAATATGTAAGGTAAAATACATCCGAAACAAAACTTCCACTTCTTAATGTGTGCATATATCAGATGTTCATTTCTACATATATTAACTCAGTTGACGAAAAATAGGGTCATCACTAAAGGTGTAATAACATTTAAAATAACTTTGATCACTTACCATACTCATTTACGGCCAGCAAAATTCCCACTAGTTGCTTGCCTGCTCTCCCATTATACTGAACAGAAAACTTTTTGAGTTTTGTTCATTTAACCAGTTAAATGGTCATGTTGCATTCAGTTTCTCAGTGAGAGAGTTATTCATCAACACTCAGTATTTCCTGTAAAGGTGTCATCAGTTTCAGTCTTAAAGATCAAATCAAAATATATTACAAAAAAAAACATTGTTCCATTGTAATTTCTTACTTCATTTATTCATCTATAAAAAGATGTGCTTTACTTTTCATTTAATCCCAAAGCAAACCTGGAAAAGATGATTCTTTAAGTATGAAATTACAAAAGCACATCATATATTGAACAATCTGCATTATCAGATATAATCATTCCACATGAAGATTAGGAGACGAAAAATTAAAGCATCATTTCAACTGAACAAGAACAAAATATTCATTTTACAATATTCCACTTTTATTCATCGTAGAAACGCAAATTACCCCCCTACTTACCCACAGCTTTCGTCTCCAACTACCACACAAACTGACTTTAACGCAAAGTGAACTTCCTCACTGGATGTACTGAAAGATGCCAAAGACAGATTTGTAATTGCATGTGGAATTTTAAGATTTCTGGAAGATAAGGAATCAGTACTTTATCATATCTACTTTAAAAGATGTGGAAAAAGTATTCATATTTGGATAAGTATTATTCATATGCAGGATTTTCAAATTCTTGAAACATCTAGCTTCAGTGTTTTTCAAAACAAGGCTTACCCTTGAGCTTTTCATTTTTACTTAATCCTTGTAAAATACTTGAAATACAGATGGCTAAACAATAAATTCCAAAGATCTAATTTCCACCAACTGACTATATCAATCAGTTGACAGAGCCATGCAAATCAATAATTAAACACCTGGTTTATACTCCAATGAAGAATTCATGTGGAACAAAATCCAACAAAGATTTTCCAAGTAAAGAATACTTGACAATGAGGGGGGGGGATTATATAATGTGTATGTATATGTATTATATATATATATATATATATATATATAATATATATTAATATAATATATTATATATATATATATATATATATATATATATATATATATTATATATATATATATTTATATATATATATATATATTCATTTACCACTGAGAAATGATATGGAGTATTTGCAAGGAAAACAGTCTATTACCATCTAGGTACAGCAAACCAAAGAAATAGACATTGAAAAATGGCAAAAAAGCTAAAAATGCTTGTGCAAAATACCACCACAAAAGGAGGCATAGCCTTGTACCCACACGTGTTTACATGTGCCCAGCCTACATCCCTCAAATGCCTATGTGCTTGCTGTGAAGCAATCATATGGTTAATACATTTTATTAATATCACTAACATGATTCAGTAACATGATCTCCATCACCGTCATTTATATCATACATATGCAAATTTGGTCACTTACACAATTTGTAAGATCAGCATAATTTCCAACTAACTGCTCCTCATCCAACTTCCAAAATAACTGAAAATAGAACAATACTTATGAGTTTTTTTCTATACTCATTACAGCAGACAATATAAGCTTGGATTCTCAGTGAGAGAGTTTGTCATCAAAAGTCAGCCTAAACCCTGTTATGGTTTCATCACTTTATTTCTTATCTTTATTTTATTGCCTTGCCTTACTGCTTGATATATGTCATACTCAAAAGAACATACCTAGTCTTCACAACGGCACCTCAATGCATTATCCTTAAAATGTCTGCAGGTGTTTTCATCAAACAGGAAGTCAGTCCAGTTCACATCTGAAATATACTTTGTCAGATCAAAAAGAAACTTTAAAATGCAATGAAATGTACAAATATAATCAGCAATGATTTTCCACATCAGGATTAAGAGACGAAAAATTGATTCATCATAACAATACAGGAAGGAAAACTATCTACTAAGTCCCAACTTCATTTAGTCTTACTATAAAAATGTTTAATCATTTGCCAAGTTCTTTAAGTTCAATTACCACTGTCCACACATTGCTAAATAACTTCCTCCTAAAATTCCTAGATTAAAAATTACATATATATTTCTTTAAGGGTTCTAAATAGTTTTAGAAGACTAATTTCTATTTTGGGTTAAATTTGGGTCATGTGCATTTCTGATAACCGTGAGGAGTCTTCCTTTAATTTGGAAGTCCCCCTTTGAAATTTTGAATAAAAATTTTGGGTAATACCCCATAACTTTACTCCCAGTCATGGATTTTTTGGACTTAAAAATTGGTTATTAACCCACCCGCGCCGGGGTACATTTTGTAGCCCAAATTAAAAAAATCCGGGAAGCTACAAATCGGCGGGCGGAGCTTCCCGGAGTCTGTCCGCCCGCCGGCCGCCCGCCGCTTTTGCCGCGGAGCACGGCTCCGAGACAGCATCGCACTGGCGGGCAGCCCGAAACTGTTTATTTTTTCCTTGTGTCTCATATATGTGACACCCGGGACGGATGGGTTAAAGAGTACTATATTTGCTATATTGTAAATATTCATGGACTATACAATTTTGTTAAAAGGGTTAGATTTAGTTCTTTGTAGTTATTGCAACCTACTTTCTCCATATCCTACCAAGCTTTTTAATTACTTCATACAATAAGTAGTCAATAGAGTGACAATGAATCTCTAAGACAAATATTTGTATGGCCCTACACTTCTTCACCATAGGAAATTAAAGCAACGACCCATTCAGGGCTGAAGGTGTTACCCTTTACTTTCTACATTTTGATATATACATGAATCATCAATCTTTCATACCTTGTTTCCACACTGAAGACTTAGAAGAGTTGCCCTCCTGATGAACTGAAATAATAATAGTTTTATGTAGTGTAAGAATAACCTTGTACACTATACATAGTAACAAAAAATCAGTTTATTAATTTCTACATTCCAGAATTCAGTTGACGAAAAATAAGGTCATCATTTTACTTGTATTAACGCAAAGCTTCAGTGCTCAATAAATTGCAGTTCCTCTTACCTGGCCCTCTATGCATAATACAGATTTTGCTGTGACCGGCTCTCTATGACATTAGTCAAATTGTGGCTTGTCTGTTTATTGTTCTTCTAAACTACCCCGAAAGGCAAAGGTTACCATCCATTAGTGGAGTGGGGAATTCAATGCAGGTCAGCAAGATTACTGGATGAGATTATGGCTGCACCACACAGCACATTTACAGCAGTAGCAATTTCTCTTCCTCCAGTCTTCTTCGGTTTCATTTCTTTGTCTAAAAACAAAACTGGCTATTAGTTAACACTGCATCATTCTCAACAACAACAACAAAAAAAGGTGTTACTCTACATTGATTTTTTCCCCATTTATCATTACATGTCCTGTCAATGCAGTTTCAATTACAAGGAATCCCTTCAATCCGAGCTATTTCTGAAATGGATTGATAGATGTTTTGAGGCAGGTTTCCTTAAATGCTATATCAGGTATTGGCCCTTCCCTTTGTCTCATTGATTTCACTTTTCTCAACAATCCCTTGTTAATATCTATTAATTCTTTATCTCAACTTCATTTAAATCATATTTCATAACTTTTCCCAAGAAACTTACCGAATTCTTAGGATCAGATTAACTTCTACAAACTGCTTCCAATAGAACTTCAAAAACAACTGAAAGTAGAACAATTTTTCTGAGTTTAAAGCTCTTCTCTAACTACTGCAGTGGACAAACTGAGTCGGGTTTCTCAGTGAGAGAGTTTATCATCAAAAGTCAGTCTAACCCTGTTATGGTATCATCACATTCTTATCTTCAAGAAAGAACTTATCATTTACTAGTATATTGCTTATTTCAAGTTCAACTGTTTTTCTACAGAATTGTACTTTTTACTCACCCCAAACTTTAAAGATGTACAAGTTACTTTTTGCAGAAAACTGCTGGAAAAAGGGAAAGAAACATTAGTACAAGAATTCCTAATTTTCAATTATTACTTAACGGCACATGTATTTAAACATTATTCAATACACAGCCGCACGCACATACATGCATACACACAATCTGGCTACTTACCCAATTCTCACAATCTGCACCGTTTCCAAAAAAGTGCTTGCATTTCCTCCCCAGAAGACTGAAAATAGATAATAATGAGTTTCTTCACAAACCACTGCAGTGGACAAGCTGAGTTTGGTTCTCAGTGAGAGAGTTTATCATCAAAAGTCAGTCTAAACCCTGATATGATGTCATCAGTTTCATTTCTATCTTCATTAAAACACTTCTTTATTGGTTTTAATTTCTATTTTGCATTTACCCATTTCTCTACAATTTTTTACTATTTACTTACCCATTCTTATGATTTATAGCAACAAAGGTTTACTCTGCAGAAATTCTGAAAGGAAGATCGTGGAAGATCTTATTTTCAATGGAAGATGTATCTATTATATCAAAAATAAATATCAGCCCATCTATTCCACAATTATCAATTTGACTAGCAAAAACTGTCCAATTCCAACCTAATTTTGCTATAGGACTGTGCACTGAAGTCCAGCTAGTCAACTAAAAATTAAATCTGCAATATTTACTTCAATCAAAAAGCTAAACATGCTCACATCTTACCTCTTACAACAGCTCTAATTTCATTTAGATTTTTTCCACACAAACTTTCTCCTCCATAATAATAGTTCACTTTTGCCAGACATCAATCAAGGACCTGGAAGATGTTTTTCCTTATCATATTCTAATGTAATGGGAGTAAAAAAAATCAGAATACAAGTTTCCACAAAGTACTTTGGAGACAAAAAATAACCATTTTCTATAGAACCCCACTAAACACCTTTTTCTTAACTCGCTTTCAACCTAAAAAAACATCAAATTCCATCTTACCATGTAAAGGATACAGGATTATTACAGAACATTGTTGGAAAAAAAAGTTTCACACTTTTCCTTGCACCCAGTTCTTTACTACAAAGAAATGATATGTGCAAGGAAAACTGTATTACCATCTAGGTAAAGCAAACCAAAAGACAAATATGGACATTGGAAAATGGCAAAAAAGCTAAAAATGCTTGTGCAAAATGTCACCACAAAAGGGAGGCATAGCCTTGTACCCACACGTGTTTACATGTGCCCAGCCTACATCCCTCAAACGCCCATGTGATTGCTGTGAAGCAATCCATGGTTTATAGATTTTATCAATATCACTAACATGACTCAGTAACACGATCTCCATCACCGTCATTTATATCATTATACATACAAATTTGGTCACTTACACAATTTGTAAGATCAGCATAATTTCCAACTAACTGCTCCTTATCCAACTTCCAAAATAACTGAAAATAGAACAATACTTATGAGTTTTTTTCTATACTCATTACAGCAGACAATATAAGCTTGGATTCTCAGTGAGAGAGTTTGTCATCAAAAGTCAGCCTAAACCCTGTTATAGTTTCATCACTAATTCTTATCTTAATTAAACAACTTTCTATTTTCTTTTGTTACTTTCAATCATATATCCTCAATAGCTAAAATTTACTCTTCACTTACCCAAAATTTTATAAATGGATTCACAAGAGGTTTTAGCTACATAAAATCCTGAAAAAGAAGAGATGCCTACATTAGTATGATCTTCAACAATTTTTCTGTGGTGCCTATTCTTTTTACTCAACATGAAAGCCAATGTTTAATGCCGAAATGGATTTCTGAAAAAAAAAAAAAAAAAAAAAAAAAAAATCAAGATTTCAGATCAAAGGCAAACATTTTTAAGACAACTCAACAAAGATGGGAAATCTAGATAACCTTATGCCCTTGAGAAAATTAGGGGAATTAGTCCCCCACTGTATGCCCCAGTAAGTGGGCTATCCTCTGGGGCCTTGTTAAGATGCACCTAGTGCTTATCACTCGCCATGCCACACCAACAGATATTTTTTTTTTTTTTTTTTTAATACTTGTATGCAGATCATTCAGATATGCATACTAGTCATTTTAGTTGCTAGACTGAACCAGTACTAGCCTCATTATTTATATGAAGAGCATTTCAGAAAAAAAAAAAAAGTTACTGTACAAGATGGAGTGTGGTTTTACCATTATTTTGAAAAAAGGATTTTTTTGCAAAACTTATTCTTCATAAAAATAAGAAATTGTATGCAGCTCTATACAAGAATGGTACTACAATAGTTTCCTCTGTGTGTCATACTTCAAGAGTAAAGTGCCAAATGACAATTGGCAGTTGAAACAGTCATAGGTTACTGTGAGAAGGTTACTGACTGGTTCACAGCAACAGTAAGAGAGCAACATTTTGGTATATGGCATGTTCGAGGGATATCAGATAAATGATCTGTGCACCTACGTCCTTTACAGAAGACAATCATTCATAACAGTGCACATCCCATTCTCCCTCAGGGCAATGCCACAAGATATGTGGTACATGGGCACATCATAAAACAGTACATAATGTATAGCATGAATTATTGCAACAGGATGTGAATGATCTGCCATATGGAGCCATAATCAAGTCAGCCATGACATGAACCCCACATCAACTAAAGATTAAGGATTGAACAAAATCCACTTAAAAAATAATTTCTTCAGCGACTATTTAACCATTCGTCCCGGGTGTCACATATATGAGACAACGGAAAAAATAAACATTGCCGGGCGGCCCGCTATTGTGATGCTATATCAGGGCTGCGCTCCGACGTAGCAGTGGCGCGCGGCCGGGCGGGCAAACAGACTCCGGGGAAGCTCCGCCCGCCGATTTTGTAGCCGCCCGGATTTTTTTATTTTGGCTACAAAATGTACCCGGCCTGACTGGGTTAATCTTGTCTATCCTCGACTCCATTCAAATCATACGTAAATCTAGTCACTTATCTAATTCTCAAATTCTGTCCTTCCCAACACAATGCTTGCATTCCCTCCAAAGAAAACTGAAAATAGATTAATAATTTTGAATCTCTTCCATAACCACTTCAATGGACAAGCTGACTTTGGTTCCTCAGTGAGAGTTTATCATCAAAATTCAGTCAACACCCTGTTATGGTGTCATCAGTTTCATGCTTCAATAAATTTCTTTCATCAACTATTTCACATTAACCCATTTCTCAACGAGCTTTCATTCTCCACTTACCCCACTTTTAAAAAGTGATACAATGTCACTGAAAGCCTTTCTGCTGAAGAAAAATATGCAGTAAACGAACATCTGTTGAAGTTTTTAACTTTAAACACCTTCAGTCAGACTCTTCCACACTGTTTTGAACTTTTAAATAAAGTTCTCTCATTTCTCAATCCGACCTGGAAGTAATTAATTTCATCAGAACATTTCATACAAGTAATTGGCGTAAATTAAGCTATACTTGTCAGATAAGAAATTTCCACATTGCATTTCAGAGACGAAAAATAAGTACATTTTTCTGCAGAATGCAGTTTAAGTAATTCATATTCATGAACAGCTTGTAATAACCTCCTTACTTTTTCTATAAAGTCCCCAAATTCTTGCATTATACAGCTCTCAGCTCATCTGTTAAGGAAAGTATATATTCACATTTATTAATACAGGCTTTCAGAGTGAAACAGTTTAGACTTTCAATATGAATTTATTCTATTATTCTTTCCAAAATCTATTTTCCGTCAAGAAAAGGTTTTCTTCATACTTTAGTATTCTCCAATACAATTCAAATTCTCAAATCTGCATAAAACTTTCAAGGATGTGATTGAATCATTTCCCATAGTTTGGTTTCTTTAAATATTTAATAAATGTTATTACCCCTTATTAACTTCTCAATACTGTAACCTTTCCAATATTTTCAAGTAAACAAAACTTTAAAAAGAAAAGTAACTAGATGTCTACAGTATTCATACCTTGAAGTTCTCCACCATAGGATTCAAGCACTATCTTCTACAATGCTTCACATAACTGCAATAGGAATTTGGATAATTACATTCAAGAACATTCCAAAAAAAAATTCAAATTTACTAAAATTCATTTTCATTCTTTTTTTCTTTTATATTGACACCAAACCACATGGAACTGTCTAGTGAAAAAATGCTTTGATAATTACAGATACATTTACAACAGTCATTGACATGATTTCTTACCTTACAAGATGGATTCAACACTGGTCACTCTTGCCTTTAGTATATCTACTTTAAAATGGGATATTCAATTCAGGTGTTACTTCTAAAACAGTTAT